GCAGGAGAACCCCTGTGCTGCTTGTAGCACTTCCAGAAGCTCCGTCTCCAAAGCAAAGCGAGCGGAGAAATTTGGTGATAAGCCAGTACTAAAAGAGAGGTCTGATGGAGGCTGTCTGCTCCACCCAGATCAATAGAAAACGAGACACCCTTCCCACGTAACGAGTTATTTACAGGCTGACTCTGCAATGCAGGGACCACCAGTGGCACTGCCGGAATCACCCCCGGCTCCCGGTGACATCGCTGTCCTCTTAACTGTTAAACCATTAGTAGAGAAAACAGCATGAAAAAGAACAAATTGTTTGGCTCAGAGAACTCTGAGCCATCTAAATCTTTTTCTGTTCAAACATACCTCAGTTTTTAATCATAGAAATGGCTAAAAAAATGCTACCACCCCCCTCACCCCCCCTTTTTTCTCCCTTTTGGTGGTTCTAGAAACCAGAAAACGCCTCTGTTGTTGCTCGAGGGGACAGGCTATGGCTGTTCTACCAGTAAAAAGAAGGTACAGAATGAGAGATTTGGGCACACAAAACACATACGACATTGGCAAAACATATCGTCAACACACTTAAAAATATCAGACAGGAGCTTTTTTCACAAAATATATTGAACAGCACTTGCCCGTTAACAAATAACTGATCAAAGAAGCTGCAGAACTTGAAGTCTCCTCCAGTGCTGCTCTGGTCTTACAGTTTCACCTCCACATTATCCCACCCGAGCCTGTGAGGTGTGCAAGATCATCACGACGAACAGCGGCAAGAGGCATCCCAAGTTTTCTCGGCGTACGTATCGTGCTGCTGTTTCCAGCTTCAAGTCAAAGCTCAAGTCATTTTCAATCCATCGAAGCCACAAAACTTCCACCTTTTCTCTAGGCTGGCCCCAACCCCACTCAGCTCCTGCCTGAACGTGTTCTGGAGTCGAGTCATGAGAACTTCTACTTCCGCAGTGCAAATCTGTGAAAACAGAAGGAAAACGTCCTAACAATGAAGACACCTTTGGTTACGGAAGCCCCGTAACGACTGGTGACGTCCAAGCTCAAACACATTGAACTGCTGCAGCACACCCAGGCCTTCCCTGGGCTCCTGCCCCAACACCCATGGCAACAGCCCTGGGACAGCACGAGTCGGGCTACCGTCACGCTTCGGAGTGAGACGGCTGCGGATATAACAAACACTGGAAGTAAAAGTTTTTTCCACTGCAAAACACAAGACAATGGATTAAAAACTCCCAAGCGTTGATGTAACAACAGCAAGTGCTTTTGCTGCTGCTGCAGGAAGAGAGCTCAGGTGTTGGGTCCAGAAATCAGGGACACGAGGAATTTATCGTGACATTCCGAACGGTCACAAACATCCACCTACAGCGCAGCTGCCGTGTCCCCAACGGCACCGGAGCTGCGACACAAAACCTGGAGGTCACACAGCTGCAGAAAAGACACCAAAATGCAGCAGGTGGATGGATTTGCCAGAGCCGGCGAGACCAGAGGCTC